AAGTTAATTACCAGATTTATAATAATTAAAGTTATAATCCATTATTTAAACTATAAAGTTGTATTAGAAACTATAGGTCAGTCTGGAATTTTTTCAAATTTGATTAGTGTAACTGAATTATTCTAGAATTTTAAAAATCATTAATGATCTATAAAATAAAATTTGATTGGCTGTTTTTTGCAAAGTTCCAGGTCAAAGCCACATGATTTTTTCTTTAATCTTTAAATTTCTGAATTATCGAAGTTGGTATTTGAAGTTCTTAAGATTTAGAATCCACAAAAGATATAGTTGAATTCACTTATGCGTCTAAGTTATGTATATCCAAAGAATATATAGTTTAATAGTACTTAGTTGAGTCTTAAATCTTATTTTTCTAATATATTTTATCTGCTTTAATATAGTTGTTGAGCGTAAATATTAATTATTAGAGCATGTCTAGAATTGAGTTAGAAGAGAAAAACGTAATGCGAATTATACTAATAGTGTAGTACTTTAGTAACAGATATTATTCACAAGCAAAGCCACCAATAAGGTTTGAAAAGCAAACCTCTCAAAAAAAAGGTAAGAAAGATAACTAAACTAGACATTGAAGGTAGTTTGTTATAGTCAAAAAAACTTACTAATCGGTTTAGCCTTTAAATCTGAATCTCAGATAAGAATCTAAAGAAGTAATGAATGAATTATTAATAAAAATATTAGTGAAGCTCTTGTCTCATCTTCTAGTCAGAGATTAACAAAAATTATAGCCGAAAATATTAATGAGCTAGATAAGTAATTATCATTATGGTTATTTATTACACGATATATTTAACTTATTGTTTTATTTTCAATAATAGGCATGTAAGAAATATCTTAGCCATTATTATTATTACTCAACATATAAGATTCAAGTTTTAAGGTTTCACTTTAGTTTTAATTCACATTGCTTCTGACCATCATCAATAGCAGATCAAAATTGGTGTAGCGGTAACAATATAATAATAAGAATTTATTTTTAAAAATTTATAATAGTTATAATTTTATTAATCGTTCTTTGTTAAGCTTTTATCAGTAAGCTCATTAATGGTAGTTTCTTCGTCTATAATTTCTTCAGCACTATTTAAGTCACGTATTTCTTGCAATATCGTTAAAAGCATATCCTTTATTTTATTTTTTAGGTTAGTATATTTTGCGCGTTGTGACTCAGGAAGTGAAATAAGCACTGAATTATGATTGCAATAAGTTCTTTTTTTTTCATTGCGCTTTCATTTTTTTAGTACATCAGCCTCTTGTTCTGTTACTGGAATTGGTTTCCAAACATTAGTACTATTTTGCTGTAATAAAGTATTTTGAATAAATTTTTGTCGTCTTTCTTTTGCAAGTATACTGAATGATTTCATTTCCTCACTTAATTTAACATCTCCATCTAAATTAGCTAATGTGTTATTAATTTTTTTAAGAGTGAAAAATTCTTTTTTCCTCAAATATATACAAAAGCATTGTTGTTCTATATGAGAATCAGGTCGAGTTCGTTGTTCCAGATTTTCATTATTCTCATATCCAATAATATTAAACAGGTTGGTGCACAACTAAATTGTTATTAAGCACTATGTTAAACTTAATTTAATTCAAATATTATATCCAAATTAGAATCTGCTTATTCAGAATCTAACAGTTCTAACTTTGGATTAGACTATCTGGCTTAAGATCTTAACTGATTGATATTTAAAAATATATAATTAATATATATTATAATGCTATATGCTTATTTTTAAGTTGTTAACTTAAGTAGAATAGTCTAATTCTAATTAGAATATCTAAATTTTAGATTAAGCAGATTTTAATTAAGGTATAATACAAGTGTGGCCAAAAAAAAAAAAAAGAGACTTTGGGCTTTTAATTTTATCATCTATTTTTTATTAGATTTAGCTCTGATAGTAACGTATAATCAGATCTTTTATGAGCTGAATCTGATAAATAATAAATGTTAAACTTGAAAGCCCAAAGTCTCTCTTTTTTTTTTTTTTTTTTTTGTTAGCAGTATTCATATATTAAATTACCTTTAAAAAATTCATATAGTTTCTTGCAGCAATCTCCCAATAACATTGTGATGGTACTGGAGGAATTAAAGACTTTAATGCTTTATTAATTTCTTCTACAATAGCATCAAGCCCTGGTATTGATTTTGAAGCCCAAAACGAGATACAACTGAAAAATTTTCAATAGCTTCATGAATATGAGGCTTCAAATATAATAAATTTTCTTCGTATGATATTTCTAGCATTCTATAAATTGGATGACGTCTAGATGACCATATTGGTGCAAATTGATGTCTAGCTGCATTACACAATAAAGGTTAATTAGTTCTAACTCTAGTACAAAAATCAATAATGGCCTGAAGATAAGTAAAAATCTATTATCATCAGATTTTTTTTGTTATATTTTAGTATTCTTATTTTCTTATTGTAAATTGAAATTAAAACAACATCTAACCTGTTTAAATTTTAATTTATATATATCATCAGTTTGATCTTTTGCCCATATTAAATAATCGTTAGGAGTTGGATCATTATGACTCAAGACATATAGCCAAATTAACTCTGATACCATAGAATAATGATATATATTACATATTGAGTTCCATGATTTATGGTGATCAATACATTTGCGAAAGAATCCCAGTTGATTATCTGTTCGATATTCTTGACATCAGGCAAATGTTTTTATATCTATTTCACTTAATAATTAGAAAGTAAATGTAAGTAAAAATAATATAAGGTAGATAGAGGTAATTTGATAAATTTATTTTTATCGACATAGCTTGTCATTACATGATAAAAATTACATGATTTTTATACCATTCAATGAGTAGAATCGAATAGTATAAAAATTATGTGATTTGGATTACGGGTCTCAAGATATCTTGATTTGTATAAAATATATTTTTTTAAAAAAAATTAGATCATAGAGGTAATTTGATGAATTGGGAATATCTTGTGATCTCGTGATTCAAATTAAACAATTTTTATACCATTCAATTTCTCTCAGTGGGAGAAATTAGATAGTATAAAAATCATTTGATTTGAATCACAGTTATGAGATATTTAAATATATTTTTACTATATAATTCTATAATTATATAATAAAAAATGAAGTAACTCATGATACCGCAATCTGAATCAAATAATTTTTATACCATTCGATTTTTCTCACTAAGAGGAATTGAATGGTATAAAAATCGTTAGAATTGAATCATGAAATCACAAGATATTCCTGATTTATCAGAAATATGTCTCTTAACATTAAATTTTTTAAAAAATTTATTTTTATAGAAATCACACTATCCTGTAACTCTGTGATCTATTTCTAACTATTGTGATCACGTGATAGTAAGATATGCAAATTCGTCAAATTACTCTTATCTACTTTAATTAATAATTGATTTATACCAGTTTAATTTGACAAATGATTTAAGCATATTTATTTCTTCGTGTAGAGCACCGAGGAGTAAAATTAGCCATAGAAAGTTTTTTCTTAATTTTAATGCTTGGTTATATGGTACACCATCATATACAACAGGTATCCATTTGCGCTTTCCAGATTTAATTCCAGCAATTATTTCAATATGTTCTAAAACTTTTTAAACATTTACTAGAGAATTAGGATTGACAGAAATTGGATCAGGAACGTATAATTCTGGAATTTTTATTTTTTGATCTGCTATAGTTTTTTGTGTTATGCTAATTTTGGGTTTTTGCAATTTAATACTAGATTTATTTAGTTCTTTAGATTTGTATGGCTTAAATATTATTGTCTTATTTATATTTTCTGATACTAATGGTTGTTGAAAAGATGACATTTGATTTATAGAAGTGAGCGTTGATAATTTAGCATTGCAATTAGAACAATTTCGCTTTTTATTATCAATATTTAGCGTTAAACATTGCGAACATTTTTTCATTTTATTAGTTAAATTATTTTGTTTGTTGATAAGCTGATCAATTTCATTTAT